GGCCTGGATTCTTCGGGTTACAACTCTTCCTAGTAGTGACCGTTTTCAATTCTCTTATTCTATATCTGTCACTATTAGACCACTTGAATTTCCTGTCCTGATTTTTTCCCTTGATTAATCTCATTTGTTCTTTCATTAATAATGGAAACATTATTAATTCCATTTTCTACTTGGGTGAGAATCCCAGACTTTCTGCACAATATATGCTTACAATTATACCACTGGTAATTAACTAAGAAAACTCACAACTAGGTATGACTGACTGTGACCCTAGGGGCTACCCACCCCCCCCAATACTGAGCAGAAACTCACAAGTGGTTAAAAATAACTTCATCATAACCACTTTAGAAAGTTAGAGAGAGAAAAATGAGAAACTCCTTTTCTGTAGGAAAAAAAAAACATTAGACCATAAAAACTCTGAAGAACTTAATAGAGTCATATCTGTCCATCAATGAACCCAAGAAGGTAGCAGTTCCACCCCTAAAGACAGAAGAAATTTCAGAATTCCATGGGTAGCTTTCATTTCATAAAACCGAAATATTTTACTCTGTCACCAGCTGAACTAAAAACACTATATTATTTTAATCTCTTATTTCAGTAATTATAGATAATGAAATGCCTTTCAGGTTTTAAGCTGAGATGCTAGAAATTTTTTTGAAATCGCACTTCAATTAGTTTCTCGTCACTGCTATGTCAAGTTACTTCTCCCCAAACAGAAAGACATTAAGGAAAGAAAAAACATTGAAGAAACAGGATAGTTGGAAACACCAGCATTCCGTTTGAGAGGAGAGAGGAGGAGGGGCAAAGAAGGCAGAAAACCACAAATACCCACTTCAGGGTACACTGAACAGTGAGGCACTTCCCTCAGGCATATCAGCGGCTCACAGATGCAATTCACCTCTTCTGCCGAACTCCTCCTATCCTGAGCAATATCAGAAAGAAATCTAAGAAGCTGAGCTATATCTTTTACACTACAAAGGAAAATTTAAAGGCAGTTTCTTAGAGTTCAGAGATCATAGAGAAGGCGCTGACACATTATTTACTAGCTCTCTTTGCTTCTGTCCAAACCCCAAGCTCAACAGAAATGGACAACACTCGGCATGGCTCCTGGTGACAAGGACATTTGTGCCTGGCAGTCTTTGGGTCAGAACTTACTGATTGGAGTTGTGGTCATCAGCTGATAGGCCGGCGAGAGAGAAGCACCCAGACACAAAAGAACCCATTGGAACATGTATAACTGTAAGTCTCTAATTATCCTTTCTAATTTTGGAGCCATGTGACTGGACTTCACACAGCACTGCTGACCCCCTAAGGGCCTGAGGCTCTGAAGCTGGACCACTAAGGGAGGGGATGCTACTCTTCACTCCCTCATTAAAATATTGTGTTACATAGCAGGCGAGCTATTTCCTGC